GTGGACAGGGCCAACCTGGTGGTGGTGGGGAGGATGGAGGGGAACGTTAATGTCAGTATCTGCAAACACAAGGAAGGGTGAGTAAAGAGCTTATATATTTCTCGTGTCGAGTGACGATTGGCTAGATCTAATTGTAATGCGTGACGTAGCATTAAATCTTCCTAGTAGAACTTGCGCTAAAGCTTCCATTTCCTAGAACTATTTGCGGAAGTACCAGGATGCTCGCGCGTTCGCACTGCAGGAACTAGGAATGATTTTAGTTCTAGGAACTCCTTTTATGGGAACTAAATTAGCTCCTACTTCAGAGTAGGGTCTAAACCTGCGCTATAGGAACTACCAGTGACGTAAGTGTACGTTGATTGGCCGAACGCATGTGGGAAAATGCAGGCACCCGTCATTTTTAAAAAGCCGGATGAACACACAACAGTTTATTATTCACGGAGCAGTTTACAGTAGGCTACAAGATGGAAAACAGCGACCATATGTAAAAATGCAAGTTGCCGTAGTAGATTTAATCTCTTAGTCCTCTTATTTGCTCTTTCTATCGCATAACTTCTACCTTTTAATTCTATCTCCATTATCACGAAACCCAGTATATACATCAAAAACACAGCTCCGATCACGGTGTCCTCCATCCTTTTGTTGTTTATGTTGCTAAATTATGCGCTTAAATAATGTTGCTGTCTGCCGGCTTATGTCACTTCTGAGTTCCTGTTGGTGGTGCGAATGCAACCAGGAAAACCTAAAATTCCCGGGGTACTATCCGACAGGCTATTTCCTATAACTTAGTTCCTAGAACTATGCGGTTGCAAAAGGGGCTTTAGGTCCTAACTGCAGAGGGCAGGAGAAAATCTCCAACTCTAAGAAAACACCTAACCAGAACTGTTGGACCTTGGAACACCCCCAAAAGCAATGCACGAGGGTTCCCTCAGCAACCTTACATTTATTACAGAGGCTGGATAAATTGGGGTTCATTTTGTGCCTGCGTACCGGAGTAATATGAAGCCTATGCAATATTTTGAAGTGCATTTCCCAGGATGCATTATCTGCTAAATAAGAGGGTGTTTCGCATGCCGCTCTCCAGTCTGCTACAATATCAACAATATCCCCAATATCCATTTCCCACAGACCCCTGACTTTATTTGAATTGTCCTTGTTTGAACTTATGAGCATATTGTAAAAATATCTAAGTGCTGACTAGGAAGATGATTTTTCAGCTGTGCCTCCAATGTCGATAGACCCATACCACTTGGATAATTCTTTAGTTTTTTTTGACAAAAAGCTATGTATTTGGTGATAAGTAAAAAAAAAAAGTTTCTTATCAATACTATACTTTGTAATAATCTGGTCAAAGGTCATCAACTTATTGTTTTCCATCACATCACCTATGACACAAATCCCTTATTTCTTCCAGATTGATAGCCCCTCATTCAATCCAGGGGGGAAATCTGGGTTGTTGGGTATAGGTGTTAATGGCGAAAGATGTGCGAAATAACCCTTTTTATGTGCTAGCCTCCACACTTTAACCATATTATTAAGAATTATATTACCTTTGATTAAATCTGATAATTGTGTGGATGAGATGTATAATAAATTCAGAAGGGGGACAGATCCTATACCTGCTGCTTCTGCACTAATCCAGGTTGAGTTAGGTTTGTCTAAATGCCATTCCAGTATAAAATTTAATTGAGCAGATAACTGATATAATTCAAATGAGGGAGCTTCCAATCCTCCCAGTCTACTAGGAAGTGATAGAAAGCTGTATCTAAGTCTATGCCTTTTTTCCGCCAAATAAAAATTGTAACTGAACTGTGTAGTTGTCTTAGGGCTCTGCCAGGAAGCAAAACAGGGAGCATCTGAAAGAGGTATAGCAGACGAGGTACAATGTTCTTCATGACAAGGTGAATATGCCCTAACAATGATAATGGCAAACTGCACCATCTATCCAGATCATTAGTAATAGATCGGATAACTGGACTAAAATTGAATTTATAAAGATCCAATTTAGGTGAGGTCTTTATATGTAAACCCAGAAGGAGATCACTTAAATGGCAATGGAACCGCCAAATCTGAAGATGGGGCATCACAGAGAGGCATTGCCTCTGACTTTGCAAAATTAATTTTATACCCAGAGACCGCACTTAAATCAGAGATACAATCTATTAATTTGGTAGAGTTCTGTGGTGAGTCTAAATAAATTAATACATTGTCAGCATAACGTGAAATCTTGTGGATCCTTTTCCCTAAGGAAACCCCATTAATGTCAGAATATTCTCTAATGGCAATCGCTAATGGCTCATTAGCTAATACAAATAACAGTGGTGACAACGGGCACCCTTGTCTGATCCCTCGGGATAAGGTAAATTTAGTAGCTCGAACACCATTTGTAATCATACTAGAAGCGGGGGTGTGTATAAAATTTTAACCCAATTAACAAAATTATTCCCCAAACTGAATCTGTCTAATACTGAAAATAAATACGGCCGCTGAACCATATCAAATCCTTTCTCAGCATCTAATGAAATTACTATGCCCCCTTTTGCGTAAAGACCTGACTAATTAATAATATTAAGTAACCGCCTAATGTTATGGGATGAAGATCTCACCTTAATAAAACCAGTCTGATCTATATTAATAATAGTGGGAAGCACCAACTCAAGTCGAGTGGCTAAAATTTTCACTAGTATTTTGACATCTACATTAAGCAACACGATAGGACAGTAAGATCCACACTCCTCAGGGGGTTTACCCTTCTTCAGGAGGACACAAATATTAGCTTCCAGCAAAGAACTAGGCAGATTGCTAGAATTGTATGAGTACTGCATCATATCATGCATAGAGGCAACCAAAGAGTCTTCAAATTTCTTGAAAAATTCTGCTGTGAAGCCATCAGGCCCTGGTGCCTTCCCATTTGCCAGTCCCCTTATACAGTTAAAAATTTTGCTGATTTCAATTGGCCTATTAAGAGCCTGTCTTTGATCTTCAGACAATGTCGGAATAGACAAATTGGCAAAGAACTTATCTAGTAATTCACCTTAATATCACTCCAGTTGGGAGGTGTAGAGTTTCTTATAAAATGCTCTGAAAATTCTGTTGATTGATTCATTATCATGACATAAATTCCCAGCGTTATCTTTAATGGTGGAGATTATTTGAGCCTGAGAGCATCAACGTAAGAGGTTAGCAAGATTTATGTTGTTTATTCGCAAATTCATACATCCGTTGCTTTGCAAAAAATAATGATTTCTCTGCCTTTTTTGTGAGAATAGCTTCAAGGGAAATTTGTATAGTTTGGATTTCTGCCAATAATTCATCAGAGGGGAATATATTATATCTAGAATGAAGATCATGGAGCTTAATTTCAAGCTTCCTTTTCAATTCAATTCAATTCAAGTTTATTTGTATAGCGCTTCTCACGATACAAATCGTTGCAAAGCAGCCCAGGAAGGGCTCCTGATCCCCAGTTCAGCCCGGGGAGGGCTCCTGATTCTCAGTTCAGCTCGGGGAGGGCTCCTGTTCCCGAGTATCCTGGCAGCTTTTAGAGCCTGTCTATAGCTGGACATACTGTTTTTCCACGCAACTCTAAAAACTTCCAAGTTAGTTTTTCTCCATTTGTGCTCAAGACTACGAGTTTTTTTAGAGAATGGGTATTACGGTTGTACCATGGCGCAGTACGTTTTTCTTTAACCTTTTTACATTTGATGGGGGCAACAGCTTCTAATGTATTAGAGAAGATAGTGCCCATGTTGCTAGTCATTTCGTCTAGT